GATGCTCACCTTCTGTGTTTTGCGCGGTTCCTGCGTCTTGAGCGCAGCTCAGCTGGGCCCAGAGGAGTGGTGGGGCTTTGCCTGTCCACGCAGAGGGTGGGAGGCCTCGCCAGCCACGCCGCAGACAGGAAGGGCCTGGGCCCACAGGTAGCCAGGCTGGGCTGCCGCAGTGTCGTCCGCAGCGAGTCACTGTGCCCAGGCTCGTTATGAAACTCCACAGGGCCTGTTAACTGGTGGCTCCTGAATCTCCTGGGGCCCCTGCGGCAAGTGACCACGGATTCCGTGGCCTGGAGCCACACACCTCTGTCACCTCACAGTTCTGGAGGTCGTGAGTTCAAAGTGGAGTGGGCAGGGCTGGGCTGGAAACTCCTAACACCAAGGCGTGGGCAGGGCTGCCCCCCGCTGGGGCCCCAGGGAGCCCCCTTTCCCCCCTTTTCTGGCTTCCAGAGGCCCCGCATCCTGGGCCCGCGGCCTCTCCTCATCCTCGGCCCGCGGCCTCTCCTCATCCTCCCGGCCAGCAGCATGGGGTCTGCCCATCTCTCTGCCTCCCTCTCGTGAGGACCTCGCCAGGACGCTGGGCCCCTGGGGCACCCAGGGTCACCCCCGCCTCAGGGGCCTTGACAGGGTCCTCTCTGCCACGTGAAGTGACAGGTTCCCGGTCACAGAACCAGGACGGGGACGCTTTTGGAGGCCCTTATCCTTCCCACCGTCTCCTGCCCACTCACCAGGGCAGGGAGCCTGCTTCACACTCTTGCACGTCAGGTGCTGCCTCAGCCCCGGGAGCAGGCCCTGGGGACACACCGAGGACAAGGCTGACGCTGGCCGGGTGGGGCAGCTGTGAGCAGGCGGGAGGGTGGCAGCGGGGTCCCTCCATGTCTGCCGCCACCTCCCATTTGGCCGCCGGTGGCCGCAGAAGGACCAGCTCTCGAGGCTCTGCTTGGGTGCTGGCGCCCTTCAGCTGCGAGCAATCTCTCTTCAAGTCTCGTGGCCGAGAGTCCACACGGCCCAAACCGCTCAGCTGGGGCTCCCAGCTCGGCCACAGCGGGCACAGAGTCGGCCCAGTTCTGGCGAGGCAGGTGCGCAGGCCACACGTGGCCCCAGAAATGCAGTCGCCGGCTCTGGGGGCACCTTGTCAGGGCCCAGGGTCCCGGGAGGCCCCTTCTTCCCACGTCCTGGCAACAGAGGGCCACAGGCCGTGGTGGAGCCATGACAGCTCTAAGTGTTTGCTGGGAGCCCAGGTGCCCCCATTGCCAGCCCGCCGTCTGGGTCACCCTCCCTGCATCCCGGGCCGCCATGTGCACTCATCTCCAAGAGTCTGGGGACCCCTGCACCCGGACAGGTAGCGCCTGTGGTGCACGTTCTCTGCGGGGGCCGCCGTGGGGGCTGGGGGGTGAGTGGGGTCCCTGCAGAAGGGGGCTTGATGAGGGAAGCAGAGGCCAGAGCCATGTGGGCCGATGGCCAAAGATGTGACGCCCTGGAAGCCGGGAAAGGCGAGGACTCCCAGGAGGGCCGTCTCGGACCTGGAGCCTCTAGAACTTTCTGATACCACGGTTGGGCTGTTAGGAGCCCTGAGTCTGTGGTACTTTCCTAGAGCCACGTGCTGGGTCTTGAGGGGTGGAGTCAGAGGAATGAGCCCCCCCCCCCCCCCCCCCCCCAGTTTAAGTAAAGGAGAAGCTGGCGGGGGTGGGCATTTGCGGTGAAGTCGGAAAAGGTTACTTATTGTAGGCAGCAAATGGAGGAGGGATACGGAGGGCTGCAGGGCGGGGCCGCAGGGCGGGGCCTGGAGGGCTGCAGGGCGGGGCCTGGCACTTCCGCCTCTCCCCGCGCTTCCCCTTCTGCGCCTTCTGTCTGGTGAACTCCCGAGACCCCGGCCCCGCCTGCCACTCTGGCACCCGGCCTCCCCCATCGCAGCCCGGCCTTCGCTCCCGGGACAGTGTGGGGTGATGGGCAGTGCCAGGCACAGCATGGTGACTGTGTCCCGCCTGAGCACCTGGCCTCACGTGCTCCACTGCGTGCTCTCCCACTCCCTGACGTGGGGCGTGTCCTGTCCCAGGTAACAGGACACGGAGCACAGAGAGAGGCTGGAAGAGTAGGGGGAGATAGGGCCCTCACCCCCCTGGGCAGGGCCGCGTCCCCAGAAGCCAGTGGGCGCCCATCCTGGTCCCAGCTTGGACAGACAGGACCCAGACGGGCTCGTCCGGGCCTCTTAGGCAGGCCCCGTGGGGCAGGGCAGCGTGTCCCCCCAGAATTCCCGTCCGTCCGTTGGGAGCGCGGTTTCTGCGCATGTCCTCAGGGTGGTGAGGTCTGCTCTCGGCCCTCTCCTGGCCCTGGCGGTGCTGGCCACCCTTGGTGCCCCCCCTTGACCTCCATCCTCATGCAGCCTTCTCCCGTGTGTCTGCGTGTCCTTCTGCGAGGACAGCCGTCATCGGACCAGGGACACCTGGATAACCCGGGAGGAGTGCGTCCCGAGATGCTCAGTCACCTCCACCAAGCACCCTTTTCCAAATAAGGTCCGTTTGCAGGTCCCAGGGATGGAGACCTCCCTTCGCCCTTGGCCGCCACTGACCTGCTGCGGTCGCCGTTGGCCGCTGCGTGGCTTTGCACACGACCCCTCCCGCTGTACAGCGGGGGCTCCGCCAGCTCTGGCTCGTCGGGGGCTTTGCCTCAACGCCTTCTGCCGAGGCGGCGGACCATTGTGTCCACCGGCGCCCTCTCCATGAAACTGAAAACCACGAGTCTCGGGGGCCTCCCGATCCAGCCCCGTGTGCTTCCGAAAGAGGGCTTCCAGAAACAGGTGACCCTTCTCCCCTTTCTGTGTTCCAGATCTCGGGGGAGGCCGGGGACGCCGCGAATCTCCGGTCCCCCGTCCCCGCGGCTGACCGCAGCGCCCTGCCCGGGGCCACTCTGCAGAGGCCTCGCCGGGGAGCACGGGCCGGGCACGGGGCCACCATGTCCAACCCCTTCCTGAAGCAAGTTTTCAACAAGGACAAGACTTTCCGGCCCAAGCGCAAGTTCGAGCCGGGCACCCAGCGGTTCGAGCTGCACAAGAAGGCGCAGGCGTCGCTGAACGCGGGGCTCGACCTGAAGCTGGCCGTGCAGCTGCCCCCCGGCGAGGAGCTCAGCGACTGGGTGGCCGTGCACGTGGTGGACTTCTTCAACCGCGTCAACCTCATCTACGGCACCATCGGCGACGAGTGCACGGAGCAGTCCTGCCCGGTCATGTCCGGCGGCCCCAGGTACGAGTACCGCTGGCAAGACGAGCACCAGTTCCGCAAGCCCACGGCGCTGTCGGCCCCCCGCTACATGGACCTGCTCATGGACTGGATCGAGGTGCAGATCAACAACGAGGAGCTCTTTCCCACCCACGTTGGTGAGTCGGGGCGGCCGGGCCGGGCGGGTAGGACTCGCGTTCGTACGGTCGGCCCGTCTCGAGCGGGCAGTTCAGGGCGTTTAGCAATAGGTTCGCAGATTTATGCAAGTGCCACAACTGGTTCTGGAACATTCCACCACCCTGAAAGAAGCCCCCTCCCCCAGCACCCCCTCCCCCAGCACC